ATAATGCACCGACTACACGCCCCATCCCCCCACCTTGTCCCACCTCCCTCTCCCCGCCCGCTCGCTTCCGTCCCCGATCACGGCCTTTTCCGCTCAACGGCAAACGGCGTTGATCAACCGCCGTCATGCTCACCCCCTCCCCCCAACATACGCACAGGAAAAGCACCCAGTCTCCGGCGCGCCGCTGTACTCGCTGGGAGGTGGCAAGGCGAGCGTGTGCTCAGTCAGCACGCTCGCCAAGCACCTGGAAGTGGCCAGCTCGCCGACGAACGAGATGCGGGCGCTGGTGGAGGCCAACCCGCAGGCGATCAACACGGTGGCCGGCGTGGCCGGCGAGCCGGGCGACATCCTCATGCAGGGCTTCCGGATGATGAATGCGCAGACGGGCGACGAGGCTGCGGCGACGTCAGAGCGGATGCAACTGATGATTGTTATCAACCAGATGGACCTCGAGCTGTTGGCCAAAGCCGTGGACGACGCCAAGAGCTCGTCGACCTCGCTCACCCGCGACCAGGTCCTGCACGAGGTCGAGTATCTCGGTCGGTTTGTGGAGAACTCGGTGCAGACGCTGCTTGCGCACGTAGGCTTTGATCCCAACTTTGTGTTCAACTCGGAGCCGCAGGTCCCGCCGTGGCGCGAGGCCCGCGGCGAGCTGGCGTACCTGGTGGTGCGGACGGCCGACGGCGAAGAGTTTTTCATCACGGCTTCGCGCAAGGGCTACTTTGTCAACGGCGGCTACGCCGAGTCTGCCGACGGCACGCGGCTGAGCTACGATCCGGCGTCGGGGCTTGTGCCGTCGCTTGTAGACCTGCTCCGGGCGCACTCGCCGCGCATCGCCAAGCACATCGACAAGCAGCTCTTTGCGTTCCGGTCGCGGGCCGGCGGCGAATTTCGGCCGACGGGCGAGGCGGCTGCAGCGCAGGGTCCTCGGACGCGCGAGTCGCGTGGAACCCGCCGCTCGGCGCGGCCAGTGGGCGGCGGGCGGAATGGCGGGCGGGGCCGGCGTCGGCGGACGCGGCGGGCCGAGGCGGCTAGCGGCGAGTCGTCGCGGCGGCTGCGCAAAACACTTGAGGACGACAAGCCGCCGTCGTCCAAGTGGGTGGCGCTCGACGAGACGGCAATCGACTATGAGTACCTCTCACAGCAGCGGCGGGCGCGCGAGTCGGAGCTCGCCGCTGTCCACCACTCGACACTGGACGCGCTGCTGGAGACCGGGCAGGCGTCACGGCCAGGGACGCGGGGCGAGCGGCCGACGACGCCGGCTGACTACCACGGCAATGTGTACTCGGACGCCGAGTCTGACGACGAGGTTGTCGAGTTCCAGCCGTTTGCGCTGCAGCAGCGGGACTATCCCATTTTCGAGCGGGTCCAAAAGCTGGTGGGCATTCTGCGGAGCTCGACCGAGACGGTCACGGTCCTCTGCCTTGTCCACCTCCTCGACTCGGAGCTGGAGAAGGAGACGGCGCAGCTGGCGATTCTGGAGGGCGGTGGGCTCGACGTGCTCATCAACTTGCTGACAGTCCACTACTCGCGGCCGCAGCTGGCAGCGCTCAAGGTGCTGTGGCGGATCATGGAGTCGCCGCGGATGAAGACGTGCCTCGAGGGCCTCGACGGGGTGGCGCCGCTCTGTGAGCTCTGCTCCTCGGGCTCGGACGCGGTCAAGACGCTGGCGGCGGACACGCTCGCCAAGGTCTGCACCAACCCGCGCAACCGGCGCGCAGTCCGGCGGCATGGAGCCATCCCATATCTTGTCTCGCTGCTGGACGTGTCTGCGGCGTTGCCGGAGAGCAACCCACTGCCGCTGCTGGAGGCTGGAGCGCGTGCGCTGTACGTGCTCGCGGGCTCACGCAAGAACCAGCTTGCAATCCGTGCGGCGAGCGTGGCGCCGCTGCTTGCTGCAATCCTGACCGATGCCGACGCGGCCCAGCCGCAGCTGGCCGGCCTCGGCCCGCTTGACACGCTGCTGGTGCCGGTGGTGGGTGTCCTGGAGCGGTGCGGCGGCGACGCGTCGTTCCGAGCCGAGGTCCGGTCGCTCGGACTCATTCCGTATGTGGTCGAGCTGCTGAGCTCGGGCAATCTTGCACTGCGGACGCAGGCGGCGTCAGCGCTGTTCCGGCTCGCTGCTGACGAGGAGACGCAGGGTCAGGTGTCGGAGGCCGGGCTGGTGGCGCTGGTTGCGCTCCTCGCCACCGACGATGAGCACCTGCTCGAGTCTGTGACTGGATGCGTGTGGAAGCTGGCGTCCAAGATGGAGAACGTGGCGCTCCTTGCGCGGCGCGGGGCGATATCGACACTCGTGGCGCACGTCTCGCACCCGAACGAGGCGGTGGTGATCAATGCGGTCGGCGCGCTGACCAAGGCTGCGGCGTCGCCGCCGGTCCGCAAGACCATCCACGACGCGGGTGGCATTGCGGTCCTTGTGGACAAGCTCAAGGAGACTAACGAGCAGCTGCTCATCAACGCGTCGCAGTGCCTCGGGGCGTGCGCCATCCACCCTCCGTGCCTCAAGGTCATTCTGGACGAAGAGGTGGACGGTGTCAAGTACCTCTGGTCGCTGCTCAAGAAAAAGTCTGCGGCGGTTGTCGAGTCTGCGGCGTGGTCGATTGCGTCGTGTATCTCATCGGGCGCGGTCTCTGGCCACCTCATCAACCAGTTTGTGGGTGGGCTCGAGCTCATTGTGGGCCTCCTCAAGGTGCCCGACGACAACGTGCGGGCCGGCGTTTGTGCGGTCATTGCGCAGATTGCCAAGAACCGCGACAACCTGGCGGTCATCACCGACCACGGCGTCATCTGGCTGCTCTCGGACCTGACGCCGACGAGCAACGACCACCTGAGACAGTATCTCGCCGAGGCCATTGCCGAGTGTTGCTCGTGGGGCTCGAACGGAGTCGGGTTTGGCCAGGCTGGAGCGGTCCGCCCGCTCGTCGGCTACCTTGCGTCGCGTGACCCGGATGTCCACCGCGCCACTGCTCGCGCCCTCCACCAGCTCTCGTTCCACGCCGCCAACTGCCTGCAGATGCACGACGAGGGCGTCGTCCCGCCGCTCCTCAACCTCATCGGCTCGCCGGACACCAGCCTTTCCGAGGCCGCCGCCGGCGCCCTCGCCAACATCCGCGCCCTCGCTCTTGCCAACGAGCGTGCCGCCCACAACGATCCGGACGCTGTGCCTGGCCCCACGTCTTCATATCCTGACGACGGCGTGTAGTGAACAAAGTAGCAGAGCAGCAAGCCCGTCATGGAAGGAGGGGGGGGAGGGGGAGGCGAACGACGCTTGGCAAATGGTCGTCGACACCGGTGTGGCTCCATCCAGAATTCGGAAGGCTTCACCAGACCTGACGGACGGGCAAGGGCGGGCGGGGCTTGTTGAGCGAAACACATTACTCACACTCCCCTCCATTTCACCCGGAAACACCGTCACTTATGTCGTTGAACCCGGCTGCTGCCGAGTGGAAGCCCTCTGCCTCTGCCGCTGTCTTTGTCCCGGCTTCGGTTGCCGCAACCACCACTCCGCCGCCTGCTGCGGATCCCACGCCCGAGGCCGAGGCCGAGGCTGCTGCTGCTGCTGCTGCTGCTGCCGCTGCCGAGGCTGAGGCTGCTGCCGCTGCCGAGGCTGAGGCTGCTGCCGCTGCTGCTGCCGAGGCTGAGGCTGCTGCCGCTGCTGCTGCCGAGGCTGAGGCTGCTGCCGCTGCTGCTGCCAAGGCTGAGGCTGCTGCCGCTGCCGAGGCCGAGGCTGCTGCCGCTGCTGCTGCCGAGGCCGCTGGCGACGACGCCAATGCGGCAGACGGTGGCGACGGCGAGGCCGGAGCATCGAGCTCGGCCAAGAAGGCTGTGGTGAGTGAGCGGGCGGAGAAGCATGTGAACATTGTGTTCATTGGGCATGTGGATGCCGGCAAGTCGACGATCTCGGGCCACATCATGTACTTGACGGGTGGGCTGGACCAGCGGACGCTGGACAAGTACGAGCGTGAGGCCAAGGCCAACTCGCGTGAGTCGTGGAAATACGCGTGGGCGATGGATACGACGGAGCAGGAGCGCGACCGTGGCAAGACGGTGGAAGTCGGGCGTGCGTCGTTCTCGACCGGCTCGAAGCGGTTCACCATTCTAGACGCGCCCGGGCACAAGGCGTACATCCCGCACATGATTGGCGGAGCGTCGCAGGCAGACGTGGGCGTGCTTGTTGTCTCGTCGCGGAAGGGCGAGTTTGAGACCGGGTTTGACCGCGGCGGGCAGACCCGCGAGCACGCGATGCTTGCCAAGACGGCCGGCGTCAAGCAGCTCATTGTGGTGATCAACAAGATGGACGACGAGTCTGTCAACTGGTCGAAGGACCGGTTTATGGAGATTGTGAAGAAGATCAAGCCGTACCTCAAGGGGGTCGGGTACTCCAAGTCCGACCTTGTGTTCATGCCTGTCTCGGGCCTTGCCGGGTACAACCTCAAGGAGCCGATTCCTGAGGGCCTCTGCCCATGGTACAAGGGCCCGCCGCTTCTCACGCTCCTTGAGCAGCTGCGGCCGCCGCAGCGGCTGATGGACGCCGCGCTGCGGCTCCCGATTGCCGACTCGTACCGCGACATGGGCGTGGTGGTGATGGGCAAGCTCGAGGCCGGTACGATTGCCAACGGTGCCAACCTGGTCCTCATGCCGAACCAAATGCCGGTCGAGGTCATTGGCCTGTGGATCGACGAGTACGAGGTCGAGGTGGGTGAGCCAGGCGACAACCTTAAGATCAAGCTCAAGGGTGTGGACGAGGGCGATGTCAAGAACGGGTTTGTGCTCTGCGAGCCCGACAACCTCGTCTCGTACGTCACCGAGTTTGAGGCGCAAGTCATGCTCCTTGACATTACCAACATCCTCGCGCCAGGCTTCAAGTGCATCCTCCACGTCCACGCGTGCGTGGAGGAGGTCGAGTTTGCCAAGCTCGTCTCGGTCATCGACCGTAAGACCGGCGATGTCGTCCAGACCCGCCCGCGCTTTGGCAAGCAGGGCCAAACCATCATCGCGCGGCTTAAGACCGAGCAGCCGATCTGTGTCGAGACCTACGCTGACTTTGCCCAGCTCGGCCGCTTCATGCTCCGCGACGAGGGCAAGACCATTGCCGTCGGCGTCATCAAGTCGCTCGGCAAGAAGAAGAAGCGCCGGAAGAACAAGGATGCGGCGGCGGCTTCGTCATCGTAACGCGCCCTCCCCTCTCCTCTCATTCTTCTCTCGCTTTTAATGGAATCAAAGTAATGTGTCTCGTTTGTGTCGTGAGTCGTGGTGTTGTAAGTGGTCGGGTGACGGGTGGTGGCTGGGTCGGCTACACCCCACTTGCCTTGACAGACTTTACCGAGTACGTTGGGATGTAAGAGGGGTAAGGGGGGAAGGGGGGGGGGGGTGGGGGTTGGGGGGGTTGCGGGGGGATTGGTGTTAGGGGTGGGGGGAGGAGGGTGGCAGGGGTGGGGGAGGTGGGGAGGTGTGTGGCTTGCCGGTGTGGCTTGGGCAAGCCGCGAGAGTCGACGGCAGCCGCCACAGCCGCCACAGCCACCGCAACCACCACATCCACACACACCCTCCCTGCACGAATAAGTACCCCCACACACACACGTAGAGGTATATGCGCTGGATGTATGGACACGCTCGTGGGTGCTCTGCAAGTAAGGGTGTGGGTGGGTGGGTGAGGGAGGAAGGCAGTGGTAGATTCGTGGAGATGCGACCTTTTTTTGGCTTGACGGCCTTTTCCTGGAGGCAGGCGAGGCGCGTGTGACTGACGAGGGAAGACATTCACCGGCTGCGGGATGTGACAGTGACACGGCGACGGGTGCGGCTGCCGAGGCGGACTCTGTGGATCTGTCTGATCCTTCGACGCTGTTCTCGCCCGAGTTTCTGGCGGGGCGGCTGTCTGCGAGCCAGCTGAGGACGCGGCTGGAGGCGGTGTCCAAGGCGCTGAGCGTGGCGGCGGAGAACGAGGTGGACTTGCGGGCCGGACATGGGCCTGGGCTGGAGGCGCTTGCGGAGGCGCTTGTGGACTCGCGGGTGGTCAAGTCGAGCGACCAAGGCCTTGTGGTGACGGGTGCGCTGGTGCTTGCGCAGCTGCTGCGTGTGTACGCGCCGCACGCGCCGTACTCGTCTGCGGGCGAGATCAAAACCATTTTCACACTCTTCCACAAGGTGCTCCGTAACCACCTGACGGCTGACTCGCCGCTGTACCCGCGGGTCTTTGCACTGCTGGAAGAGCTTGTGCGGACGCAGACGTACATTCTGCTTATCGAGTTTGAGCTTCACGACCAGGTGCTCGAGCTGTACCGGCTGGCGTTTGAGCTCGCACCCCAACTGCGGGCTGACCAGAGCCACATCAAGGCGTACCTTGTCTCGATTCTGACGTCGCTTGTGGACGAGTCTGATGCGGTGTCGCAGGAGGTGCTCGACGAGATTTTTACGCAACTGCTGCCGGCGCAGGCGCAGCAGGCTGCGGCGGCGCACGAGCTTGCGCTGATGCTGGTGCAGAATGTGTCGACGCGGCTGCAGCCGTACGTCACATCGTGGCTCCACGACGTGCTTCTTGCGGGCAAGACGAGCGAGTACGAACTTGCGGATGAGGCAGCATCGATTGTGTTTGCGCTGTATGCGGCGGCACCGTCGATTCTGCTGTACGTGCTTCCGCAGCTGGAGGAGCACCTCAAGACGGAAGACGAGGAGCAGCGTGTCGGGCTTGTGGAGCTGGTGGGCAACCTTGCTGCGCTGAAGGCGCCTCGCGGCGGGTCGCTGTACGAAAAGTATCCGCCGCTGTTTGGTGTGTTCAAGGACCGGTTCCGCGACATCTCAAGCCGGGTGCGGACGGCGATGGTCTCGATGACGGCCGCGATTCTGAGCGCGAATGGGGCCAAGGTGCAGGCGGAGCTGACGCCGCTGCTGCTGGAGCGGCTGGAGGATACCGATGCCGGGGTGCGGATTGCAGCTATCGAGGTTGTGGCGCAGCTGGCGTCGAGGCCTGCGACGGCAGCGGCGTTTGCCGAGCCGCTGCTGCAGGTCGGGTCGCGGCTGCTGGACCGCAAGCCCGCGGTGGCCAAGGCAGCGATGGGCGCGCTGGCGCGCGCGTACGCGGTCTACCGCGACGCGTTTCTGGACGACACGCTCGCTGCAGACGCGCCGCAGCTGGACTGGATTCCGGGCTCGATTCTCTCGCTGGTGTCGAACATTGCGCTGACGCTTGGTGACGGCGACGTGGGGTTTGGCGGGCCGATGAACGACGGCGAGCTGGAGACGCTTGCGTCGCTCTCGGGCAACGACGCGGAGCTGTCGAGTCTCCGGTTTGAGATTGAGGCTGTGTTTGACGAAGTTATTCTGCCTGGCGGCGAGGGCGGTGGGCGCGAGCTCGACGCTGCGGACCGTGCCGAGACGCTGCTGTTTGTGTTTGACACTGCGCCGCTGGTGGCGCGCAAGGGTCTGGAGCTGCTGTTCCGACAGAGGGCACAGTTTTATGTCGTGCTCTCGGCGTACCTCAAGCTGCGGAGTGCGCATTCGCGGGAGGCGCCGGAAGGAGTGGCGGCGCGGATGGAGTCGCTGTTGGGGCGCTCGGGGCGATGGTGGTGGGCCACACGCGGGCGCGAACTAGCGAGGTCCTCCGCGAGCTGCACAAGGTGGTGGACGGCAACGTGTTCAAGCTGCTGGCCAAGCTTCTGGACCCGGGACTCGAGCTAGGGAGCGTGGCTGCGGCGCGGGAGGAGTTTGTCAAGGCGGCAGTGGCGGGGGCGACGGTGAAGGGCGCCGGGCGGCGTGCGGCGTTTGTGGACGTGATGACCCAGATTGCGCGCAAGGCGGCGAACCCGTACTGCGCGACCGAGGTGCTCGCGGTGCTGCTTGCGCAGATCGAGGGGATCCGAAGCAAGTTTGCGAGCGGGGTGCACGAGGCGGGCGGGGCGGAGCCACTGGCGGGCATGGCGCTCAAGGAGCGCGTGGCCGGACTTGTGGTCTCGCTCTCGCTGACGTCGCTGCTGGGGCGGAGCTTCCCGCATGCGTTTGCCAACGAGCACGCGGCGTTTCTAGCGCTGCTCGAGCCGGCGCACGCCGAGTCGGACCCGCTTGCGCGGCAGGTTGGGCTCGAGCTCCTCTTGGCGACGGGCATGTGGCTCGACCGCGAGTCTGACGAGCACACCCAGCTGCCGGAAGCGCTGGCGGCGCTTGTAGATGGGGCCAGCTGTGCAGAAGCGCAGCTGATGGTTCGGGTTCTCGCCAAGACGCACAGCGGCGAGAGTGATGCGGTGCAGCCGCTGGTGGATGCCGTGGTGGGGTGTGCGGCGGGCGGAGCGAGCGGGGCGTGGAGCGTTGCGCGGAAGCGTGGGGCCGTGCCTGCGCTGCTCGCGGCATGGGCCGAGCTCTCGCTGCGGTTCCCGGCTGCGCTGCGTGTGGCGTTGGACGCTGTGCTCCTGCCGTTTGCCAAGGCGCTGTTGGAGCTGCCGGGCGGGTTTGTGGAGGGCGAGGAGCTTGCAGCACTGCACGCGAGCGGGCTCGCCGACGAAGTCCGCGAAGACTCGAGCAGCTTTGCGGGACTTGTGCGCAAGGCGGCAGGCGGATCGCGCAAGGCGGCAGACACGGTGCGGCTGACGTGGAGCGAGGTGCCGAGCTACGGGACGCTTGTTAAGACGCGTGCGATTGAGGCGCTAGCGTCGCTGGCGATCGGGAGCGTGACGAGTGACGAGTACGTGAGCTCGCGCGACATGCCTGTTGTCGAGTTTTGTGTCGAGGTGCTTGCGGCGACGCTGGAGGGCGTGATGGACGATGAGTCGGCGGAGGCTGGGCGTGTGCGGCTTGAGGCTGTGAAGGCGATCCTGCGGCTGGACACGCTGCAGCTGCGGGTGCGGTTGGCGCCTGTGCTCATTCGCGCACGTGTGTACGCGCTTGTGGCGCTGTGCATGCAGGATCCTGTGTTTGAGGTGCGCAAGCTTGTAGCGCGAGCGATTTTCGAGGCGATCAACCACGCGGCGCTGTCGACCAAGTACGCGGCGCTGCTGACGCTCGCGGTGGTCGACCCTGAGCGGGACAACCAGGATGCTGCGGCTAAGTACCTCAAGGCCGTGGTCAAGTCGCGGAGTGCCGAGGCGGCGCGAGTGGTGGGCAGGCCTGCGGTGCACGCGTCTGTGGCGCCCGAGTACGCGCTGCCGTACTTTGTGCACATGCTCGCGGGCCACCCCGACTACTTTGACGACGACCTCGATCACTTTTGCCAGTACTTGACAGCGCTCATCGAGGCGCTCACGCACCGTGGCACCAACTTTGGGTTTGTGCACACGCTCCTGACGACGATGCTCGCGACGGAGGACGCGTCCGGGGCGCAGCCGCCGCTCACGCCGCGGATCTACGCACTCGTGGAGATGGCGCTCCGCATCCTCAAGGCCGAGACGGACCGGCGGTCGTGGAAGCTGGCGGCCCACCCCGGGCAGATCATGCTGCCATCTGCGCTGTTCCGGGCTGCGGCAGCACCGGCACGGCTCGACGAGACGCACTCGTACCTCCCGACCGAGTTCCATCTCCCGCAGCATGCCTCGCGGCGCGACATCATTGTGGGCAAGGCGGCGCCGCCGATGACATCTGACTCGCCGAAGAAGGCCTCGCTCGGGCGGCTCTCGTTTGCCGACTCTGTAGCGACGAGTGCATCGCTCGCGTCGCCGTCACGGCCGCGACTGGCAGCCGCCGAGGCGCAGCGGCGGCGCAAGCGCAAGATTGTCAACTCGGAGAATAACCCCAACGTGTCCAAGGTCTCGCGCGGGCTCGGCTCGCCGCCGTCCCCGGGCTCGGCCCGGCAGAATCGGTCGAACTTGTCCAAGTCGCCGGTCCGCCGGCCGGTCCAGCCGACGCCGACCCCGCCACGTGCGTGATAAATGAATCCACAGCTCTTTCTCCAGACTTGTCGCGTGCAGCGCAGGGCACATCATTGATACGGATGACGTCAGAGCGGCCAGCATGGCTGGAGGACTTGATGGCGGGGCTTTCGCCGCCCAAGGCCGTAGCGGTGCGGGGCGAGAGGATGCGTGTGTGTGTGTTGGATGAGGATGTGAGGGGGGAAGAGGGGGACGAGAAAGCGAAGCGAGCTGTGATCAGATCAAGCGAAATGGCCAAAATCCGGAAAAAGCCGCAGTTTGTGGCGGCGGCGTCGGTCAATAACGCGCAAGGCCGGTGGAGCTCGCGAGCAAGTGCGGCTCTGGCGGGAGCAACAGTGGCAAACGATCCACAGAGTGTGGCGCTGGTGGCAACAAGCACGGTGACCGGTGAGCTGGGGGAGAGCGTTGCGCGGCTATTTCCATTTGCGACGTTTAACGCGATGCAGTCGCAGTGTCTCGAAGCGTGGTACGGAGACGGATCGATGGTTGTGTCTGCGCCGACGGGGTCGGGCAAGACTGCGGTGTTTGATCTTGCGGTGCTGCGTGTAGTAGTGGGGTGGCGGAGTGGGAGTGGCTGCGGCGGCCCGCCGCCGGTAGCGGTGTACGTGGCGCCGACCAAGGCGCTGGTCCGCGAGCGGGTGAGGGCGTGGAGGGCCGGGCTGGCCGGACTAGCGACGGTGGTGGAGGTGTCGTCGGATGGAGGCGGGGCCGGGGGAGGGAGCTTCCACAGCATGCTGGATCGGGGCGTGCGGTCGAGCGAGCGGGCGATTGTGGTTGTGGCGACGCCAGAAAAGTGGGAGATGTACACGCGAAAGAGGAGCGCGACGGTGTGCAGGCTCGAGGAGCGGCTTGTGCTCGCGATGCTAGACGAGGTGCACATGGTGGGCGACAGCGGACGCGGTGCTGTGCTCGAGGTTGTTGTCTCGCGGTTCAAGATGTGCGGCGGCGCGTGTGGGCGCGGTGTGCGGTTTGTGGCAGCGTCTGCGACGATTCCCAACGTGGGCGAGGTCGGGGCGTGGCTCGGGGTCTCGTCCAGCGGGGTGCTCGCATTTCCGGCGAGCTACCGGCCTGTGCCGCTTGAGCTTGTAGTGCTAGGGACGCGTGTGGGGAACCGGTCGGGATTCATGTTTGAGCGGTCGCTCAACTACCGGGTGTTTGAGGTGCTGATGGCGCACGGGCAGCGGCGGAGAGTGTCTGCGGGCGGCGGCATGCTGCCGACGCTCATCTTTTGCTCGTCGCGGAGCGGGGCGGCGGCGACTGCCAAGCACCTTGTGACGCACGACTTGGGCAGCGGCGGGGTGCTCGCGGGTGGTGCGCGCGGGGCGGCGCAGCGGGCGGCGCTGGACGCGGCGGCCGAGCGGGTGGGATCGGCGGCGCTGGGCGCGGTGCTCCCGCTCGGGGTCGGGTTCCACAACGCTGGGCTAAGCGCGAGCGACCGGGCGACGGTGGAGGCACTGTTCCTGAGCTCTGAGCTCCCGATTTTGTGTTCGACAACGACGCTTGCGCTTGGGGTGAACCTGCCGGCAGCGACGGTGGTGATCAAGTCAACGCAGCGGTACGTTGGTGGGGCGTACGCCGAGTACTCTGCAATGGAGATGCTGCAGATGGTGGGGCGGGCGGGGCGGCCCGGGTTTGCGGTGCAGGGCGAGAGCGCGACGGCGGTGGTGCTGACGGCCAACGAGAACGTGGGCCGGTACCGGCGGCTGGAGACCGGACACATGGCGCTTGTGTCGCAGCTGGAGGCGCGGCTGCCCGAGGTGATCAACACCGAGATTGTGCTCGGGCGGATCCGCGACGAGGCGAGCGGGGAGGCGTGGCTCCAGTCGACGTTTTTCCACGTCTCGCAGCTTGCAAGCGGAGCGAGCGCGGGGTACGACAGCGTCGTGGCGCCGTGCGTGGCGGAGCTAGCGAAAGCCGGGCTGGTGCGTGTGTGCGGCGACGGGCGGGTGGAGGCGTGTCCGGGCGGGCGATTCATGTCTGCGTTTGGCATGCGGTTTGCGACGATGGTGCAGTTTGACGGCCTAGGCGGGGAGAGCGGGATGGAGGAGGTGCTTGCGGCGCTGTCACAGGCACGCGAGCTCGAAGAGGTGCTCCTGCGGCGAAACGAGAAGCGGGTACTGGCGAAGCTGAATCTGGCGCGTGCGAGCAGCGGGGACGAGCTGCCGCATCCGCTCGTGACGCGCAAGCGCGGACAGAGCGGCGGACGCGGACGGCGTGAGCGGACGATCCGGTCCGAGGCCGACAAGGTCAACGTACTGTGGCAGGCGGCGCTGAGTGGGGTCAAGATCGAAGCGCCGGGCCTGGCGCAGGAGGCGCACCGACTGGTGCAGATCGGGGCGCGGCTGTCGCGGGCGCTGGTGCAGGTGCTTGTGCTCAAACTCGGGCGCGGGGGCGGACGCGGTGTCTGCGGGTGGTGCGGGCAGCAGTGCTTGTGGCCAAGTCGTTCAAGGCCGGGCTGTGGCACTCGAGCGGACTGGGCGCGCGCCAGCTTGACGGAGTGGGCATCCAGCTTGCGCGCAAGCTGCGCGAGGCCGGACTGGGCGGCGTGGCCGAGGTAGCCGCAGCTGTGCCCGGGCGACTCGAGTCTGTGTGCACGCGGCGGGCACCTTTTGGCGCCAAGCTGCGCAGTCAGGCAGCAGCGCTGGTGGAGGGCCACCGGGTGCGGGTGCAGGCGCGGGTGAGCGCGCTGCGGAGCGGGACAGGGCTTGCCGGGTGGGCCATCGAGCTTGTGGCCGAGTGGCCCGGATGGGCGGTGGGGAGCGATGCCAAGGCGACGCTCCTTGCCGGCATTGTGGAGACGAACGACGTGGTGGTGCTCGAGGCGGTGCAGGGGAACGAGCGGGTGGTGAGCGTGACGTACTCTGTGGACGAGGCAGCAGCAGCAGGCGCGGGGAGCGGAAGCAAGATGACAATGGCGGTCTCATTCATCTCGCATGAGGTGGTCGGGGTCGACGCGGACATACGGGTGCCACTCGGGGTCATGCCCGGGGCGCGGAGCGAGAGCGCTGGCGGGAGCATGGGGCGCGAGCTGCACGTGCAGCGGCGGCGGAAGCGGGTGACGGCCGAGGTGGGCGAGGGCAGCCGGGCGAGCAAGCGAGTCAAGAGCGGCGGCAAAGGTGATGCGGGTAGCAGCGAAGGGAGGCACTCGTTCCGGCACTCGTTCCAGGTGCCGGCCATGCCGCGCGGGCTGCGCGAGATGGTGCGAGCACCGCCGCCGACGCGAGCGCATCCAGCGGCGATGCGAAGCGTACCGCGGTAGCAGCTTAGGGAGAGTCGCGATCGGGCAAAGGTTTGCCGTCGCGGATCCAGGCGACGTAGTCGTCGAGGAGGACGGGCCAGGCAGCGTCGTGGTCGTAGTCTGTGAGAGCGTCTGGCGTCGGGGCATAGGTGCAAGCAAACTCGAGGAAGGAACACCACTGGTCGCGGTTAATGCCGCGGTACTCAGACTGTGCAGCAAGAAAGGTGGTGAACGGGTCGAGGTGTGGGTGGCTTGCGAGAAAGAGGACGCGGAGCATGAGGACGGCGGCGTCGAGATGGAGCGATCGCTGGCCGGGCTCACAGGCAAAGCCAAAGGCGTACTCGTAGACGTCAGTAAAGACGTCCGGCGAGGCACGAGCAGCACTCACAAGGTCGGGAAGAGCGGATGCGGCCCAGTGAGCAAGGCTGTCCAGCGGGGGGAGGAGGGAGCGGGAGCATAGCCCATAGCGATCATACCGGCCACAAACTCGTCCCGCGAGAAGAAGCCCATGCGGGCAGCATTCATGGCATGAGCAATGACGAGAACCGCAAAGTCATCCGGTGTCCTCTTGATGGTCTCGCAGAAGAAGGAGACACCAAACGGGCCGAGTTCGTCAGAGCTGTCGCCGCCAGGAGAGGGGGGCGACCGAGGCTCATCGGCATCGGTGTCGTGGGCCAGGAGGGCATCGAAGAGTGCGTTCGCAGCAACGGATTGGGAGTGGTGTGTGTGTGTGTGTGTAGGTGTAGGTTCGGGCGTGTGTGTGTGTGTGGGCGTGGAGGACGTGGGTGACTGTGGTGTCCGCGGGGGTTTGGAGGAGGCCTTGCCTGCGCAGGTGAAGGGGGGGGGTGAGTTGGAGGGTGGTGGGGTGAGGGGGTGAGGGGGTGAGGGGGGCGGGGAGACGTACCCATATATATATATAATTAGATGTGTGAGGAGGAGATGATACGGGGTAGGGAGAAGAGGAGTATGTGTTTGGTCCGGGTGGCGGTGGGGTTGTGTGTGTGTGGGAGGGGGGGGGGGGGGGGGGGTGGGGGGGGTGGGGGAACACCGGTTCGACAGGCGACGGTGAGCGGTGGCAGGCGGCGGTGAGTGGTGGACTTGGGCGTGGGCAGAGGTCACACCCAACTCTCCCAAGGCCCCAACACATTTGGTGACTGGCTGGGTAGTTGGCTGGATTCCTGGGTGGCATTCGGTTGCTTGTCGTTGGCTGTCGCAAGAGGACCATGAACGGGCGGAAGAAGCGCGGGGGCGTGTCGAGCCTGGCAACGGCGGTGGCGGGGCTGACGGAGCGGCAGAAGAAGGAGATCCGCGAGGCGTTTGACTTGTTCGACTCGGACCTTTCTGGAGACATTGATCGGAACGAACTGGATGTGGCTATCCGGGCGCTGGGCTTTGATCCAAACTCAAAGCGGATCGAGACCATGGTGGCGCACATTGATCAGGACGGCAACGGGTGCATCGAGTTCTTTGAGTTCCAGAAGATGATGGCGGTGCTGATGCGCGAGACCGACTCGGACGCGACGCTGCTCGAGGCCTTTACCGAGTTTGATGTCGATGGCAAAGGCAAGATCACGTTTAAGAACATCAAAGCCATTGCGGCCGAGATCGAGGTCGACATCGAGGACGACGAGATCTACCAGATTCTCGAGGTGGCGACCGGCGATCCGCTCGGCGCCATCGCCTGGACCGACTTTGCGCGGATGATGAAGAAAGCGACGCGGTGAGGTGGCAGATGCGGGGACTATGCGTCGTCGTCGTGCGGCATACGCTGGAAGAGGGCATGGTCGAATGCACCGGTGACGGTCGGCTTGGGCGAAGCAGTGCCACACGAGTACGGCATGATCCATCGGTCGATGACTGACTCGCGCTCGGCAGTCTCACGCGATGACGACGGGACGCGGTAGCCGCTGTGGGCAGGGCGGATAGCTGAGGGTCTCCAGCGCGGCGCGCGCGGCCAGACCGAGCGCGGGCCGGGCCGTCGAGCCGCGTCCGAGTCCGAGTCGGAGCAGGAGGTCTCGGACGAGAGCGTGCTGCCTGAGTTGCGGAGCGCAAGCTTGGCGTAGGCGGCAAGGCTGGCGACAGTGTCGGCAAGTAGGGCCGGAAAGTAGGCGTTGAATGGGTAGCCAAGCTCGGTGACGGCGTCGTCGAAGCGGGCATCCTGCGCTTCCGACTGGCCCGGCAGCTCGGCACGGAGCTCGGCGCGGAGCTCGTTGTGGTGGCTCACGACGGTCGAGAGAGTGACCTCGATGTCTGCTGCAAGCGTCTGCATCTCCGAGTCCCAGTCCTCGCCAGGTACCACTACGACCTTGTGGTCGTGGACCGAGTAGACGACAAGGATGCCGTGGTTCCACTCCTCGTAGCCGAGGCGCCAGTTGTTGAACATGCCGCGTGCGTAGCGGGCGAAGCGGCCCTTGAGCTTGTCGCGGTTGACGACTCGGAGGAGAGTGACGAGGACAATCGGGGCGCGGACGGTGTCAAAGACGTCGCGGAGGCGAGTCTCGAGTGAGACCGTGGCGCGCGGGCCAAAGACCCGCGCGTGGTCGACGACCATCTGGTAGTACACGCCCTGAATGGGGAGCGGCGGAAAGAGACCCCACCCGCCGCGGGCGTCAACGCATGCCTGGCATGGGCAAGGGCGTGGCTCACCGCCGCTGCGAGTTCTGCGGCTCTTCCGTCTGCTGCGCCGGAACGACCGATAACCGAGAACGGCTTCGGGTGAGATGGCATACTTCATGCCGCCCTTGCTTAACATGGCGACGTCAACCAGCGTGGTGCGGATCTTGTCAATGGCGGCGAGGAGGACGGCTTCGAACCGGTCACTGGCCGAGTCAAACTCGTCCGGGAACTCGCCGCCGATCATGACCGACCGGTCAAAGCTGCCCTTATCCGAGCTGGAGGTGTACGAGCTCGTCGACGAGTCGACCGACGTCGACCCGGACTCCTCTTCCTCCTGCTCTGAGCAGCTCCCTTCGTCCATTGTGGCCGTAGTTGAGGTTTGGGCACCAGTCATCGAGCTCTCTGACATACCCCAGCGGGCGGATGCGAGGGTGGCTGAGGCGCGCGGGCGCGGGGCGGGCATTGAGGCAGCGCGGCGGTACTCGCTGACGTCATCGTGGAGCGGAACGGCAAAACCAGAGGTAACGACGGGAGTGATGACTCGCGAGACAAGGTTGTCGATGAGAGTGTAGTTGCCCGGAGCGTCGCCCCAGGAGCGGCCGACGACGACATCGAGGAGCCACACACTGTCGTCGCCGCTGGTGACGTCGGCGAGCGAGCCACGTGCGCGCCAGAGTACAATCAGAATGCCCGAGTCCCAGCCATGCGCGCCACCGATGCCCCACTCGGCAAAGACCGAGTTGGCGTAGTGCCGGAGCTTGTCAGTCACGTCCGGCGAGGCCCAAATGGCGTCGTCGAGGCCTGCAGCAATGAGCTCCGGCTTGTGCGCCGCGGTGGCATGGCGAGTGCTGAGCCCAGTGGGCGAGAGCCAGCGAGCGGCATGGGTCGGCGCCGTCGAGTCGCGCGAGCGCTTGCGTCGCGACTCGCTGCGGACCGCATCGCCGGCAGCCATGGCCTCGTTGGCGATGTGGGTACAGACAGTCCGAGTCGAGTCGCGGTAGCGGTCGGACAAGTGTCGGAAGGTGGCCGGGCTCAGGCTCTTGCGCTTGCGAGCCGCGCGCTCCACCGCCACCTCGCACCCGTAGTCCCAGCGAACCCAATCACGGGCTACGAGCTGGTCCTCACGGAGCTCGTCATCCGAATAACGCGGCAGCTTGTCGACGGTCGAGCGCGGGAGCGCAGTCACGTACTTGCCAAGCTCGCGCTCGTCTTCAAACTCGCTGAGCAGGTAGTGATCGGGCGGCAGGTTGCCGGTGTCGCGGGCGAGGGCGAGCTCGACCCGCTCGCGCACGCCATCGAGCCATGCTTCCTGTTCTTCGAACGATTCGCCAAGCGTGACGCCCGCCACAGCCATGATCGGTACGCCGGTGTGGTGGAAGAGCTCGCGGGCGACGTCGTTGACCGATTCCCGGACCCGGGCCGGGACCAGCTCGCTCAGCAACGGGTCGACGACCAGAAACTCCGAGCCGTCATCCCGCGGCGGCGGTGGGATATAGATCGGGACTGACTCGCCGCGCGATGACGGCGAGGCTGGCGGCGGTTGCCAGCTCTGTGTCGATGATCGAAGGACCTCCGTCTTGGTACTCGAAGCACGCGGGAGAACCGCAGGCTTGCGGTATGTGTGCCCAGTGCCCTTTCCCATGGTTCGCGGTGGAAAAGCCCACTCGGGCGAGACCGGGCCGGCCCGGACCAGCTCTGGACCCCGTTCGAACGACGGCGTAGAACCCATGGCTGTTACGGCAGAGACGGAGAGATATAGAGAGCGTTAGGGAAGGAGAGAGGGATAGGGTATGGGTGGGAGTTGGCGACGAGGGTTGACGGTCGAGTAAAGGCGGGTGAAGTCAAGCGTAGAAGTATTCTGTGGCGTGTCTGTGATATGGTCAGAAAAACGTTTCCAATCCATTCAGCGGTTCAAAAGAGCGTTGTCGAGCCGACAGGGGAGAGTCGTTGACCGTCCGTTGTGCGCTCATGGCCGCTTCTTTCTTCAATTGAACGGGACAATGCAAGTGTGTAGATTGAGGGCTATCATCCAGTGTACATGTTGTGCATGAGGGTTGCTGCTTGGGTGTGTGTCAAGGAGGCTGCCGATAAATTGCCCTGCGCAACGTTTCCAACGTTGACCCGATGACGTATGAGTCGTCACGTTTGACCAGATGCGGAACAAGGCGCGTTTGTTCCGTGCAATTTTGTGCGGGCCATTCATGGCGACCCTCTCGCATGAGAGTGAAACACTCTATTTACACTTGCCTCTCATTGTCACCACACTCTCTACCTTCCACTTTCACCCCTTTACCTACACCACTCCCCCCCACTTGCCCTCCCCCCCCTCCCTCTCCCCAAAAGTGCGTATGACTTTGCCGTGGGCGGTGCGGCAAGTCTGTGAAGCTTCATTAATTATTATGGCGTTGACTAGTGTTATGTGTGTGTGACTGGTCTCTCTCCCCCCCCCCCG